CTGATAAACCTGTTCAGGGCTGCGACCCTTCCAGTCGACATCTGCACTTGTTTTGCGGATGTCGGGCTTTTCAAGTCAAGGATGGCCTTGATTTGATCTGGACTTGCTTCAACGCCCCTTCTAGTGACCAAGAATCCCAAAAACTTTCCAAAACCGACTCCAAATGCGCATTTCAAAGCATTGAGTCAGAGCCGATATATTCTAAGGATATCAAAAACCGCCTTCAAGTCGGCCAGATGATTCCTAGGTTCTTTGGTCTTCACAACCATGTCATCAATGTACACTTCTACTATCTTGCCAATCAGATGTCTAAACATTTTGGTCACTAACCTCTGGTAGGTTGCTCCTGTATTTTTCAACCCGAAAGACATCACTCTGTAGCAGTACAACCCTTTTGGGGTGATAAATGCAGTCTTCTCCTTATCAGGGGGATACATTGCTATCTAGTGGTATCTTCTGTAAACATCCGGGAAGCTCATCCTTCCATGTCCTGAAGTGACATTTACTAACTGATCAATCTTGGGTAGTGGAAAACTGTCCTTGGAGAAAGCCTTATTCAGGCTGGTGAAATCGACACAAACCTTCCACTTGCCGTTCTTTTTCACTACCACAGTGTTGGACAGCCAAGTAGGGTAGTTCACCTCGCAAATGGCTTTGGCTTCGAGCAGTTTGTCCACTTCCTTCTCAATTGCCTCAACATGCATCAACGTCGGCCTCCTCGTTCGTTGGATGATTGGTTTAGCCGACTTGTCTACATTAAGCATATGGCATGTGACCTTGGGGTTAATGCCTGGCATCTTGTATGGCGTTTAGGCAAATACTTCTATGTTGGCCCGTAAGAAAGCTTCCAACTCCCTTTCCTCATCCTCGGCTAAGCCTGAGCCAAGAAGGAAGAAACGTTCTTTATCCCCTTCTTAGACCGGAATTTTCTTTAAGGCTTCCTCACTCTTCTCGGCTGGTTCTTTGCTGACATCATCTATAACTTCCATGTCTTCGTCTTCAATTTCTGTTATTTCTGTCTCTTGCACATTGCAGGTGGATTTCATTACTGCCATGGAGCAATTTTTTTGCCTACACCTAATCCCCTCTAACTTCCTTAATTCTATGCTTTGTTGGGAACCGCAACAGTTGGTGCAGCGTTAAGGGAACAACCCTCATTGCGTGCAACCATGGCCTTCCCAAGATAACATTGTAAGGGAAGGGAGTGTCAATTATTGTAAACTCTGTGCTTACCTTGGTGCCAAGATGATGCTGTAAGGGAAGGGTGTGTCGATTACGGTGAACTCTATTGTTACCTTCCTGGTGTCTGCCTGCACTTCCAAGCTGGTTGTTCCCAGTGGCCATGTCGGCATTCCATTGAACCCGACCATTGGGCTGTTGGACTGCTCCAAATCATCTCGATGAAGGCCAAGCTCCTTGTAACATCGGACATACATGATGTCACAAGAACTGCCTTGGTCGTTCAGAATGCACTTTATTTGGCATTCCCCAATCTTGAGAGTCACTACCAGAGCATCGTTGTGTGGATACTGCACCATGTCTAAGTCTGCCTCAGTAAAAGACACCATTGGCCCTTGAAACTTGTTTGTCCTAGGCGTCTTTTTTTGGACCTGATATACATGCTGTAAGTGCCTCATCCTGTGAGCCTCTCCACGCACCTCGTTTTCATTGATCCTCGAGTGAATCACATTGATCACTCGAGGTCCATCTGTTTGCTGTTGTGGTGGTGGTGGAAGTGGTGCTGCCGATGTCTGGGTTAGTCTTGCTTGCTCTTCCCTTGTTCTGGCCTCATCTACCAGGTCTCTCAAGTGACCCTATCTGACTAGATCTTCCAAATACATCTTCAGGGCTCTGCACCCCTGAGTCAGGTGCCTATCCTCATTGTGGTAAGCACAGTGCTTCCTAAGGCTTCTCCCCATAAATTTGCTAGGAATCTTCTCTAGCGCTCTATAATACGGCTGGCTTCTGATCCTTTCTAGAACTTTGTAAACCAGGATCTGGAACACCGTGGTGATTGCCTATGCAGCTCTCAACCCTGTTTCCTGCCTATTAAAACTTGTATTACCTCGGCCTCGCTTCGGCGAGCCGTTTCTCTTCTGCTACTTCGGCGCCTTCATTCCGGGCGTATCCTCTTCTGCTCTGGCATATTTTTCGATCCTTGCCATGAGCTCCTCCATACTCTTTGATAGAGTCTTCGCCAGCGACTTCCGAAACTTCCAAAGTGTGCAATCATCCTCCCAGCTGTTCTTACAAGACATGACCGCCAACTCCTGGTTGCATCCTAGTATTCGGTTAAACACCTCATAATACCTTTTGGCATAAGCCCTGAGGCTTTCACTCTCGCCAATTTTTAGAGCCATCAGGGAGTCTACCCTCAGCGGCTGCAACTTGTTTGTAACAAACCTGGTCACAAACATCTCGTTCAGGCCTTCCTAACTCTTCACAGTTTCTTTCGGCAACTTGTGAAACCAATTCGAAGTGATTTCCCCAAAGGATGAGGGGAACACCTTGCATAGCAATGGTTCGTTCCCCGTGTACAAAGCCATTGAATTCAGATATAAACTGATGTGAAAGCTCGGATCGGACTTACCGTTATAAATTTGGAATCTTGGCATATGGAACCTTTTTGGAATCTCAAACCTATCTAACTCTACTGAGAACGGCATTCTCGGCTTGACAGGAGATGTGACCTCGGCAGGCATTCTGCTGCTTCCTTTGGAGGTAGTCCCTCAAATCCTCCTTTGTCCGACCAGGAGCTCGGCTGTCAACAGATTTCAGCCTTTTTGGTGCGCTGCTCCTGGTGTCGTCATGTGTCCTCTTGAACTTCTCTTCATTCACCGTATCAAAGCAAAGTTCCTTCCCCTGAATGTGCCGATATTCTTTGACATAAGTTCCCTTGGTACGAGGCATCTTCTGAGACTCTCCTCTCACCGACTCTGCTCGCCTGGTATCCCGTGAACGCCGATGTGAGTGTTCCTTCACCCTGTCATGCTGAGGGACTGCTGGGATTGCTTTCTGCCCCCCTTTCTGGGCGTCGTTCTTGGTTGCTTGAATCAACGTGTCCTTCAATGAAAACAGTGGTTGCATGACGTTTTGCATCATGAAGTTGACAACCGATTGTAGGTCTGCCAACTTGTTGGCCAATCCCTTCATCTCGCCGTCCTTCCTCAGGCATCTGTCCTTCCGTACCTGAAAGTCGCTCTCGTTGTAATATTCATCTCGACCTGCTTTCTTCGGGGCATTACCTTCCTTGCCGACATCCTTCTGCACAAAATTCGGATCCTATGCTTCTTCACTGTGGTTTTCTTCTTCGATGTGAGGATCGACTTGTTTACTACTCCCACATGGGACGTCGTCCCCGACCTTTTCTTTTTGTCCGTCGTTGGCCATCTATGCTCCTTACTTTCCCACAGATGACACCAAATTGTGGGTGTTGATTTTTGACCACACAACCAAACGGGGAACTCAACTGGAGAGTATTGACAGAATAGATTAAGCCTGATCAACCTGTCATAGAAATATAAGAATCCGGCGGTGGTTCATCCACCCGGGGGCACTCCGACGATCAAGTCTGTAATCAAATATCTCTCAAAGATAGCTAATTGAGCTTAACTCACAAGAAAGAACTTATGGTTCTCAATATCTTACACATACCTCTGACCCATGGGGGTGCCTTACTTTTATAGTCCGCACTGACTTGATCCTTGTAAAAGCCTAAATTCAGTAGACTCAGGCTCAATGCTCATCCTGGACTCTCAGCTAGATAGGGATAAACTCCCTAAGAGCTTTATCTTTATCTGGACTGAGATCTTCTCCTGTTCTAGGACTCTTGTTCCTTATTCGCTCATCTCGAATTTCGGTATATCCGCAGATAACCTCGGACTATCCGAAATCACCTCGGCATCAAGACCAAGCCACGTGGCATCTCGGCTGACACTTCGGCGTCACCTTGGCCACGTGCTGTCATTCACAAAATATGCCCCCACAATTATGAATGTGACTTATTTAAGAACAAAACAAGTAGATAGGCATAGGCTATACTGATGAAAATTATATCATATTCCTATAGATGATTCCTACCCAGACCAAAGGATTGATTTGCATTGACACAAGCGTATATTACTAATAATGGGTTAGCTGATAATAGGATTACCATTCATTTTTTTTTTTTTTTCCCTTCCTATCATCCGAACATAGCCTTACAACTATTTATTGCAAAATTTGTTTGTGCTATGTTTGAGTCGGGCTTGTTTGGCATAATTTCATAAATTAGTTTTATGACGCCAGACGTGTTTTGTGAAAATTTTGAGAATATCATTTTTTTGGTCATTTTAATATCATTGACTAAATTTTTTTATTTTTTATTTTTAAAAAAGAAGAAACTAAACAACATTAAAGTGTCTTGCGTAAATTGGTTCTTTGCAACTCAATATTGGGAAAACAGTTTTCGGGAACAATGAATGAAACAAATTAGCTATGCTTTTATGTGGAGTTGAATACTTATGATAACAGACATTTCATTGGCACAATGTTAATCCTTGATGGTGTACCATGGTTAGAAACTCAATCTTGATTGTGGTTGATTGCTATATTGGGTAAGATTGGTAAAGTGGTGCCTTTGGAGTTTTGGAAAATGAAGAATTTTGATCTTCTAGAGCTTCACTAAAAATAAAAAATAAAAAATAAAAAATAAAATAAAAAAGTGGGATTGGGCTGTGGTTCAACTCTTCTTCCTATACTTCATTTTCCAGTGTGTGCCAAACAATGCAAGGAAAGTCTTCAATCCATAATCTCATCCTGGGATATTATTGTGAGAAAAGCACTATGATTTTGGATTACATTGAATCACATCATTCATTGTTCTAAAAATCATAGAATGGAAATGGACTAGATTGCTGTGACAATGTAACTTCTTGATTTCTGTATGTTATTATCCGTTTACCAGACTATTTTTATGTATTTCATCAAAGCATTGTACTCATTTCGTTATCATTTGTCAGATTCATGATGTAGAGCAACTAATGGAGATTGTAAAGCAAGCAGCTAGAGAAGGTGCAATGCTGGCGTATACTCTAGCTGACCCTTCCATGGCTCAATCTGCCAAACAAGCCTGCAAGATATGGGGTATACCATCAACTGATATACTGGGCCCAATTACCGAGGCAATTGCTACTCATCTAGGTGTTTCGCCTTCTGGCCTCCCTCGTGGAGCTCCGGGCCGGACTTCCCATCTTACAGAAGAATATTTCCGACGGATTGAAGCTATTGAATTTACCATCAAGCAAGATGATGGGGCCTTACCTCAAAACCTCCACAAGGCGGACTTCATTCTTGCTGGTGTCTCTCGTACTGGAAAAACACCACTATCAACTTATTTGGCTCACAAAGGATACAAAGTGGCAAATATCCCAATTGTAATGGGTGTTCAGGTGCCGAAGACTCTTTTTGAAGTAGATCAGGAAAAGGTTTTTGGTTTGACTACAAATGCTGTTATACTCCAAACAATTAGAAGAGCTCGAGCAAAGAGATTGGGCTTCAGCGATGAAGTGCGGAGTAACTATTCGGAGATGGACTATGTGAGAGAGGAATTGGAATATGCTGGCAGGATTTTCGCGCAGAATCCTATTTGGCCTGTGATTGGTGAGTATACATAGAAGTTTCATACATTTTCCTAGTTTTTAATGAATCTTTTTAAATCTCTGTAGTCCTAGTCACAGGAATGTCTAGTTTGCATCTAGAAATTCACAACAACGAACTATGTTACATGGACTCAGGTATGAGTTTCAAGCACGGGTGCATGTTCAGGTGTCAGACCTTCCTAAACATAAATCCTAGGATGTTGGGATATGTATCCAAAAGTTGGAATGACTACCGGGACATGTCCTGAACACTGATTATGTTGTATATTGTATAATATTCTTAGATAAGATGATGCAAATTATTTAGAGATGTTATTGAAATTAAGTAGGATTTAGGAAAAATATGAAATTTCTATTTCTGATTCATGTGAGAAGGATGAAATAGCAAATGTGATCCTTTTCTTCTTCAAACATCATATAAATTTATAGAACACAAGTTTCTAAATTGTGTATGGGTGTCAGATACATGTCTCACACGGGTACTATGGGAGAAATAGAAAGTCCATGTAACACTATCTAGAGAGGAACAAATGATAATGGAAGTTTGTAGGTGTAATGAGGTAGTTGTTCAAACAATCTTTGTCACAGTGTTACTGTGGTTGCAGAGGTCACTGGAAAGGCGATTGAAGAGACAGCAGCAGTTATGTTGAGGCTTTACAATGATCCGAAGACCAAATGTGTGATGCCAAGAATCTCAAAGCGCTATTAGAAATGGTAAGTTTCTTTTTTCTCAAGCATTCTTGGATGGGATGCTAATACTGAAGAAAGAGAGCAAATATCTCAACTCTATGAATAAGATAGTTGTGAGACTGGTTTTAGCTGCAGATACTTGTAACGAAGTTTTGAGTATTTAATTAAGTTGAGAGAACTTTTGTTAGCCTATTGAACTAGTGTTGCTGTGATTCTACTGCTTGATTTGTATTTCTCACATGTGGAGTGGTGGGATTTAACAATATTTGATTGAATGGGCACTTTAAAATTGAATTTGATATTGCCTTGAATGAATAGAATTTAAAATGGGATTTGAAGAAATAATAATAATAAGGGAAGCCTTTTGAAATCCCATGGAAAATGACTCTTCAGTAGAAAGAAATTTTGCCTAGACACTTCAGTAGGAGGTTCACTCTTGATCAAATGGCTCATTTCTTCTAGTGTGGCTCTCTGTGGTGCTATGTCTCCTGGAGGTTTTGATCCCTTTCTTCTTTTCTTTTCTTCTTTTTCCATTCCTTTATTTTATTTATTTATTTATTTATTCAAATCTATAATTTAAGTCCATTTACATGATCAAGCCAACGTCACTGCAAAATTTACAGGAGAGGGCTGTGCAGCACACACAGAGGGAGAGGGAGAGAGGGAGAGGGAGAGGGAGAAAAGAGGAGAGGGAAAAAAAGAAAGGGTTAGGGTTTTGTTTTGGAGGCTTCATTAATTCTTCAAGTGATTCTTTGATCTTCAAAAATAATTGTAAATGCAAAATCTACTTTCCTTGATTTATGTTTATTTTATTGTTATTATTTATTTATTTTTATTTATTTGATGTTGATTTGATATTGTATTTACATGAAGATGATGGATTGATTTTAATTATTTTGGTTAGATGTGTATGCAAGGTTTAGGATTTTCAGATGTATTTATTTTATGGTTGTAATTACAATGATGGATATATGAAATTAAAATAAACTTAGAACCCGTAAATAAATTCCGAATACTCCACCATCACTCCAAAGATTGTTGTTTTATTTGAGTATTGGTGAGAAAAAGTATAAAAAAAAAGGGTAAGGATTATGAGATTTATTTGAATACCTTAGGTTTGACATTGTTATGTTTATTCTCATGAGTAGATGAGGGATTGTGTATATGTATATATTGTTGTTTCGTTCTCACGAGTAGACGAGTGTTTTGATTTACGCACGTGCATATATGCTAACCGTCCGAGGGGAGTGGGTCAAACTCGGGACGATATCCCCGTGCAAGTTTGGCTTCAGAGCGGTGTTAGGTATACGGAAGACATATGGAATATATGTGTAGGTCGGAAGTGAAGAGCTGAAGTGGTGGAGTTAAGATATAAAAATTAAATATGAACTTATTGGTATAGTTTGAATTGCTTTGATTTGTACATCTCGAAAAATAGTAAACGACCCCAATAAATTGCGAAATTTGGACAGAGGCATGTGTATGTAATTCTAGACAACTTTTATATTTTAACTTTTTACTAAATAAATCGATTAGAACTTATAATCGGATGATCTTGGTTATAATAATTTTTATTTATTTTAGCAATGCAGATTTTAGATGTTGTTTTAACCCATAAAATAAGTTCATTTTTATTGATTTTGCGTAAACTGAAGTAAAACATTATTCACATTATTCTGAACAATTTTCATGTTTTGAACTTTTCCGAAAAAAATCATCTTAAGGCAGTTTCTTTTTGTTTTCAGTTTTAGATTTTTCGATCGAATTTCGTCTAGGTTTTTCTATTAAGTTTTTCTCTTAACTTGTTCAGTTTCTACTAAATTCGTTCGCGTTACTTTTTAGGAAATTTGATTATGTACAACTTTTGATCTTTGAGTTTTTGTCAATTCGAATGATTTAAGTATGAAATGATGCGTTTTTATATGATTAAATTATGCTTTTTCTTCTTTTTTTTTTCTTTTTTTCAGAATGGTGAGTCTTACTAACTTTTTATGCAGGGCTAACCCACCGTATATTATTTTTATTTTGTTTATTTTATTCTCAATATATATTTAGTTATATGCGGGTAAGAAACTAAAGTGTCACCGTATCCTGGGAAACTATCCATTCGCCTCGGTGCAGATGGAACTACTTATCTTATCCCGTAACAAGAATTAAATGTATTTTTGTTTGTGTCTGGTGGATAAGTAGGTGTCAAATCTTGTACTCATACCAGTATACTTGTATATTGACCTGTTTTGTCTCTTGGCATTTTTGGGTGTGCTTTGTTTGAGCGCAGCCGAGCTTCCTTTGCATAATTAGTTGGGATTACGGTGGTGACAAGAAATAACTACGGTTTTAGGACATGTCTTTCGGACTTCTTTTGTTTTCTTGAGCTTAGGGTTGATGTTAGTTTATTGTATTTATTATTATTATTATTTTTATAACTTTAGTATTTTGATAGTTTCGCATTGTGGGTTATTGATGGGTCGTTTCATACACTAAATATAAACATTAAACTATATCAAATATTTTTAGAATAATGGTAAGTCCATGTATCGATCCACAGGGACAAACAAAAAATTAAATTAATTTAATTCTTAAATTTCTAAATTAATTTTGGTAAAAAGATTGAGAAATATTATAACTAAACGAGAATTAAATGAAATTAAGAAATTAAATTGACGATTAAATATAGGATTTGAGATATTGATTTTTGGAAAAAGTCATAGGGTAAAAAATTCACCACTAACCACATGAATAAGACTTAACAATGACCATCAATTGCACTTCAGTTTGAACTATCCAATATTTCATAACTACAAGTTTGAAACATTGATTAAGAGGATTGTTGTGTTCAACGTACATGTACGAGTTATCTCCAGTAGCACAAGGCGTTTGCTCTAAACTATGGTAGGAACACGACCCGTCTCTCGTAGCACGACTCCTCTCAAACTTTGAACACAAACACAAAGAAAACAAATATATGGAAAGCATTAAATAATCACAGAGAATAAAATACTTGAAGAGATGAAAAGCAAAATCATTATAAACTTCTAAAACATCCATACATTTATTCAAACTGTTTCACAATCAAAGCCTAAGAAAAATCCCTTTACATGGCTAGGGTTTTATCAAAATCCTGGAAAAGAAGAGCCTAGCTACTTATGGAGGAGTGAGAAGAGGTGAAGGAAGAAGAAGCTACCATAGGAGACATTCTTTAAGCTTCAAGTTCTTTTGTTTCAAACTCTAGCCTCACTCTCCCTTTTCTCTGAAATATTTTCGAACTTGGTTTTAGCCTCTTTTTCTTCCTTTTATTCCCAACAGAAGAGCCTTAAAATTTCATGCATGCAACCCTACGTGGGCGGCTCGAGTGGTGGTGGGCCGCACGTGCAGTAAAGCTTGGCCGTACGTGCGGTGCGACGAGGTGGCAGACAAGATTTTTTGCTCCTCGCACGGAGAATCTATTTTCATGCCATTTTGGCTTAAATTTGCATGTTACTTGCTAAATCTGCACAAGTGCACAAAACATATCATCTCCACCAAATAAACAATATTGAAAGACTAAAAATGTAAATTAGGTGGCCTCAATATAGTACATTTCGGCCTACATCACGCCTCCCAACTTACATTTTGCTAGTTCTCGAGTAAAACAAAAGAAATAAGAAAAGTAAAATAACTCTAAGTCACTTTCATAGGGATCAGGATTGCATTTAGTATATGCAACAAGTTTTTAAACCACAAGGTTACCCCAAGTGGACGAATATAGTCTCGTGAGGGTTTCCAGAAATAATACTTACAAACATCAACATATTCACATCTGCTCAACAACAATAAGTAATCACACTACTCCAACTATCAATTAACTTAGGTGTCAACTACAATGTGATATTAAGGCCTCGTTTGGGAACGTGATTTTTTAATAATTTTTTGGCTTTTTTGCTAAAATATGATGTAAAAAAAATTAGTATGTTTTGGATAAATTTTTAACTTTTTACGAAAAGATGTGCAAAAAGTAGAGAGAAAATGAAATTTTTGACTTTTTGGTATAGGTTGTTAGCTTTTTGACCTTTTTAGTAACTTTTTGACCAAAAAAATCGCTTGCCAAACGAGGCCTAAGACATGATGAGTCGTTGAAGGCACAGTGGACAAAAGTCTCTTGTACTTGTGAATGCTAGTAAACACGTCATCAGTGCCCTTGGTGTATAGTGCATTCTCCATAACTAATTAACTGTTCACTATAATAGCCCAGTGTAACTCACAATAACACCCAACATATACAAAAAAACAAAATTTTTGCAACCAAGATTCTCATAATTTTTTTTTAATTTTTTTGAAAGATTGTGCAATTCCCTGATCCATTAAACTTTTTAATCAACTCATGTAACAAACATTGGGCCAATGACTCCCAAATTAGATGATTTTAGGGTAATAAGTGTGAAGACATTCCTACAAACTTAATAACTCGAACTGAAAAGGTTATGAACCTGAACAAGTTTTATTTATTTATTTATTTATTTATTTATTTTCTTAGCTATGCAATGTCTAGGTCCCTTATACTTTCTAATTAACCCATGTAGCAAGTATTGGGCCAATGACTCCCAAACTAGATGGTTTTAGAGCACTAGGTGTAGAGACACTTCTATGGGCTTAATAACTCGAATTAAAAAGGCTATGAACCCAAACAAGTTAAGTGCTTTTTTTTTTTTTTGGTGAGAATCAAGGCTACTCATTTATGTTTTTTTGCAATACTAGCAATTATCTATGATGTATACTAGGGATTAGAATAGAGAGGTCACCGCTATTAAAGTGTGTTCATGTGAATCAAGGTACACTATTGACAAATGTACTAATACCACAAACACAAACAACTCTCCTAGTGCAAACATCACATGTGAGTATTTACTCAATAATCCCTTTTTATACAAGTCCCCTATGTTCCCCAATTAATATATGCTTATATCACTATTATACTGGCACAAAGTGAAAATCAAGTGGTGCAATCAAGTGTAGCAAGTACAAACATGAATTATTTTTATAATAACCCCCAACCCAACTGGAATATAACATTGTCCTTAGTGTAAGCAACTGTAAAGTAGATAGTAAAATGAGAGAGAAATGATCTTACTAGACGGCGTAGGTGCATATCCAGCAAGGCAAGGATGAACCAAACACACACACACACACACTTTGTTTTTTTACTGTACAGTATAAAAGGAAAAGAAAAATAAAACAAACAAAACAAAAAGAAATAAAGAAATAAAATACAGAAAATAGAATGGATATCACTGATTTGGATCCGGCAGTAGTGGAAAATGCTGCTCAAATAAGGCATGCATCAGCGTTCAAGTCTCGAATGCCTCATCATGAACCTTAGCTCCAAGTTGATCAAACCATTACTAGCTCGACTCTCGGTATGTAAAAAAGTCAATTTGTAGAGATGCAACTGACTGCCGATACCCATCAAATGCCATCTGCGAGTAATCCTGATATGCCTGATAGTCTGCTTGGAGATCAACCACAGTTGCTGAATAGTGGCTTGATTATCCAAAAGAGCCTAATTTGCGCGTGCGTCATATGGAATGGTGTTGGCGCTGGTGCGGCGGTAGGCTCTGCCGAAACATCATTACGATTGGTCGGGGCATTAGGAAGGAGTAGTGAAGGCGGCAGGCGAGCAGTGGTTTGGCGCCATTGGGTTTTTGTAATAACGCAACCCTCTCATATGCTTAAACTCCCTCATTAGTCAATTTGTAGAGATGCAACTGACTGCCGATACCCATCAAATGCCATCTGCGAGTAATCCTGATATGCCTGATAGTCTGCTTGGAGATCAACCACAGTTGCTGAATAGTGGCTTGATTATCCAAAAGAGCCTAATTTGCGCGTGCGTCATATGGAATGGTGTTGGCGCTGGTGCGGCGGTAGGCTCTGCCGAAACATCATTACGATTGATCGGGGCATTAGGAAGGAGTAGTGAAGGCGGCAGGCGAGCAGTGGTTTGGCGCCATTGGGTTTTTGTAATAACACAACGCTCTCATATGCTTAAACTCCCTCATTATATGTGTGTGTATGTGTTTGATATGAAATTCTATGTTTGAATGTGTGAATTACTAGTTTATAAATTTATATCTGTCAATTATGAGAAAATTTGTTGGAATTGTGTCCTTCGGACTGGAAATTGGAAGCCTTAAAGGCACAATAAACCGAAATTGACTTTACGGTTATGATTAACATGATTTTTAGGACATTACATGAAGTTTTGTAAAATTTGATTTGTAATAAATTAATTGAATTATTTAGGCTCAAGTCTTAATTAAACTTAATTAGCCTCATGACTCAAGTCTTGATAGATATAAGGGTCACTTATATGAGCCTTAGATGACTTAGCCTCAACAAACATAAAAACAAAATAACTCCTGGAGAGTTTCTAGAGAAAAAAAAAAAAAAAAAAGAAGAGAAAAGAAAAGAGAGAGAGAGGAAGAAGAGATCAATCAAGACTTGAAGATTGAAGAAATTGGAAAGGGGTTTATAGAATAGAGTTCAAGGTGAGTACAAATCAACTAAAATACCCCAAATCTCTCTTCAATTTCTTAGCATCAAGCTTTGAAATGAAGTTTTTACACTTATATAACTTAGGATTTTGAATACTGATTTTACTTGAGTAAATATCCATGGAAGTCATAAAGATTCATTGTGTTTGGTTAATTGAGAGTTGATCCTTTTTATTTTGAGGTTGTTTTGAGTTAGCTTGAGAGGTATCACTTCTACTCTTTAGTTTTTGCATGCTTTGAACTCATATATGTATTTATATATATATGTTTGTATATGTTGTGATAGACCATGAAAAGATGAAGAAATGAAAGAAAGGTGGCAATTGGAGTAATTAAAATGAGTTATGATCTAATTGAGTTTGAGATTTGTGTTTATTGTGTTCACATGTCATGATGTTGAGATAAATTTGCTTGTATGAAACCTTAGAAATGTATTTGGAAAGTTTAGTCTTTGATGATTTTTGGACTGCTCAAACAGAGCCTAGGATTGACCGTGCGAGGCTTATGGCCGCACGTGCGAGATGCACAACAACACGTGCGTGGCTCAGCGCCGCACGTGCAGAAAACAAGGAAGGCCAGTTGAGCAATCTGAAATAAAAGCACGTGCGAAGCCGCACGTGCGGCGCACCTCTCCTCACGTGCGGTAGGGGACTTCCGCACGTGCGACCAGTGGGGAAAAATCTTGTCAGCTTCTTTTACTCTTTTTGGCCCTCCGAATTTGTTAATGTGTACATTTGATCCTTTTGAAATGCTTACAATTGAATGGAAATAAAACGAATCGAACAAATGATTAAAGAAAAAAAGGCTAAGGAAAAGTGAATTACTTACAAGCTGTGTGCCATGTGTAGGTCACGTACTGGAGGGGATTGTTGAACGACCACATCACAGTGAGTAATAGTAGTGTAACGATATGTCTTATTTACGTATTGTGATTGTGGATTATACATTTTTGCTTGTGAATGCCATATGTCATATAAATTTTGTTTTGATTGGAATAATTGGCATGATTGAACAATGGCATATAGCATGGACCCGAGGTCGTTTTGTTTCTGCTAAGCATGATAGGCAGAGGCCATTATGATGTGGACTATGTATGACTCATGGCCTTAAGGCCGAGGGAGATGGAGACATGCCGATGTACCATCTACCCTATAAGGATATGGATTATTTATGACTCATGGCCTAAGGCCAAGGGAGATGGAGACATGCGGATGTTTTATCTACTCTTTAATATTTCGAACAGATGTTGATATGTTGGGCCCAAAGTCGTTATGTATTATGTTGGACCCAAGGTTGTTCTGTCTTACGTGGGCCCAAGGCTATTTTTGAATGAACTCATGAATAAGACAAGCACATGACTTATAAAAATATTCTCCAAAGCTTATGCTCATTTACATGAACCTCCTTAAATTGCTATTATTCACTAAGCCTTGCTCATTTCGTATTTATGTTTATTTATATAGGTGATCAGCTCGGAGGCTAGCCTTAGGTTAGCTCTAGGAGCCTTTTGTTGGACTTGTTTTGTCGAGCCTCCCCAAGTGGAGCCTCTTAGCTTTTGTGGGGTTCCTTTTTATGTCACATTTTGTTAAGTCTTTAAAGACTTGTAATAGATGCATTGTCCATATGTAAATTTTGGGTTGTTACCTTTTTGTATAGACTTGCATAACTTAAACGTGTTTGTCTATAGACTATAAACTGTGTATCTGAACTCTCTATAGATGGTATGGTGTACTAATGTCCTAGCATTTAAGCACTGCACAATGGACGTTTTGTTTGGTTATTATATTTGCTTCCGCTTTAGGAACCGTCATTCGATAAATGTGATGGAAATTTTGTTTTAAGGCCTATGTATTGGCCGGTCATGATCCAGACTTTTAGGCACCGGTTTGGATCATGACAGTTTTACCATAAAGCGTTGGCGGCGGAAGCTGAATCTCATTGGGTTCGAGTGGGTATGTCCATTGTCTTTTTATGAGTACAGTGATGAGGTTGACGAAATGGAGGGCCCATGTAGAACCGCCTCGAGTGTTACGCAACTTGACTTCGTTAAGGATATGGGCCATCTAGTTGAAGATCAAAATAGGGATGTCGACCCAAAATCTGAAGTCAAATCGGTGCAAGGCATGGAGGAAGTCCCCGTGTTGTTCTTCCTTGTGGCCTAGAGGGATGACATTCTTTTTTAGAACCACACCAAGGAAGAGGAGGCAGCATGGTAAGTTAGCTCGATGGATGCTAATTCAATTGTTATTATCCTGCTGCCTCTCATAAAATTCGATCACAAGTGTTGGGACTGTGAGTTCCCGAGTGAACACCAAGAACTGCTCTTCATTGATAGTGTCCATGGAACAGTGAAAAACATCGGCAATGGAAGCTGGTGTGACCACTAACTCCACCCCGTTAACAACGGACAAAAGAGCTCCCGGGGCCTCATCACTGATGTACATGTTCTGATAAAAAACTTGCACAATGCAAAGATACGCCGATTCAGTGACGGTGTAGATGCCCAAGAAGCCCCGGTCTTCAAGTTGTTGGACACTCCACGTAGTTGGTTGGTGGCGATGGAAGAAGTCCACATCAAATGGTGTGTCACGGGCAATTTGTTTGTCGACCCAGATGGCGGTTGGCACATCCTTAAGTGTAATGTTAGCATTGTGAGGCCATTTGGGTGCTCGACGGAATGATGTAGACATATTTGCACAAAATAATACAACCAACACAACTAAAAATGTGGAACTATTATATCAGCACTCATCAAATATCGCATGTATGCACGAATCATTCAAATCCTCATTGTTATCACACTACCGAATTTCTTTTATTTCAATTTTTTTTTTTAAATATACTATCCTAAATTAACTTACACTAAGTTAGCATAAAGAAAATTGACAAACACAAACATGAAATACAAATAAATAAATTAGTAGAGAAAAAGAGAAGAAAATAAAATAAAAAAAATACAAAAAATAAAAATAACAACTAAACTACTATACAATTAAACTAACAATTAAAACAAAAATAAAAACAATCCACCAACTAATTAAACTAACGAGTACCACTAACTAAACAACTAAATTATATAAAAAATACGCTGCAACAAGCTAAATTATTATTATTATTATTATTATTGGTGATTTTATTTTTTGGTCGCACATGCGTCGGAGATGGCCGCACGTGCTATGGTCAGTTTCTAGTACGAGCAGCACAATTTTTTTTTTTTTTTTGGTGTGAGGGATGATAATGATAGGTACAAGGGTGATGAACAAAGCTCAAAATCACCATTAAACTACCAATGTACTAATATTACAAGTGAAAACTAATAAATTTAAACAAAAAGAGAGTGATTACTTTGAAAAAAAGTAGGAAGAAAAGAAATGAAGAAGAGAAGATGTAGATCCGCCGGAAAAAATGGCCGCCGGAAGGTCTCCAGTCGGAGAAGATGGTGATGCTCCGATGGGAAGTTGGTGGTGAGGAAAAAGGTGAGTGAAAGTTGAAGGAAGAAGAAGATGGTGATGGTAGGGTTTGATGAGTTTGTGGGTTTGTGGGGTTGAGAAAGAGAGAGAGAGAGAGATAGAACAAAGACGATGATGATAGGTAGATAGAGAGTATGCTAGGAAGTGGTGTTGGTCAAAAGTGGGTTAGGATTTTCTTAAAGAAATCTCTCTTCTTCTTCTTTTTTTGTTTTTTTTAATGAAAAGATAAATAAAGTAAATAAAAAATACAATAAAATAAAATCTGTAGGATTTTTTTTTTTGTTGAAGAAATATTAAATAAGTAAATAACAATAAATAAAATAAAATAAAATCTGCAAGTTTTTTTTTTGGGGGACTAGGTCGCTCTTACGCGCATGTGCGGTGAATTATGAGCCGCTTGTGCAACGAAATTAGGTTGCACTAGCGGCGCTCACGCAGTGTCCATTTGGGCCTGGGCCGCTCGTGCGCTCCAACCTTCTTTTTTTTTTTTGGATGGGCTGCTTTTGTGCCTATTTGGGCCGCTCTAGCGGTGGAATTAGGAAGCTCCAGTGGCGTTGAAATAGTGTGGTTTTGGGCTCGGGCTGCTTGTGCGACCTAGCCTCCACTCATGCACCCTTTTCTAGGACCTCCATTCGTGCGCCTATGTGGGTTGCTCATGCGGTCTGTTGCACTTTTTTTTTTAAAACCAATTACAACCCAAAACATGTCAATCCATTTGTATCTTCATTTCACATCCGAAATAAATATAGTACTTTGAAAATATCGGAATGCTTAACAAAGATATAATCTTCACGCGAAAATTACGGATACTACTTTGCTCCCTAACAATGTTTGTAACTTTCCCTATTCTCCAACAGGGTGACAGACTAGGTTGATTTGGTATTCAGAATCGAGGCGCATAAAGCTAACTCGACCTATGGGGCTACCATATAGAGTTCAAGCCAGGGTGATTTTGAAGCAATCTTCACACCCCTGAGTATTTAAACCAGACGTTAGTCTCAGAAATTTCAAACCTTTGCATTCTAGGCTTTGTCATTCGAACTTTAGTTTCCACCATCTAAATTGGTCTCCTAGGAACTTACTACAAACACAGTTAGGTGGCTATACTAGACCGTCAGATGCCATTCGAGCATGACAAACACCAAAGGAATTACACCTTTAGAGGATTTAAAGTCTCCTTTTTTCAATATCATCCACAAAATGTTTCGATCTTTCGCCATTGACCTTGAAGGTCGTACCATCTTATGGATTTTTAATCTCAACCACCTTATGCGGAAAGACTGCAATAACCTTATATGGGCCATCCCACCTAGATCGGAGTTTACTCGGAAACAATCGCAATTTAGCATTGAACAGCCACACTTTTTGGTGAGGCTCGAAGGACTTACAAGAAATGTGTTTATCGTGAAATGCCTTAGTTCTAGCCTTGTAAATTTTTGAGCTCTCATATGCATCATTGCGGAGCTCCTCTAACTTATTAAGTTGGAGTTTCTGGTGGTCACCGGCCTTTGCCATATCAAAATTAAACTTCTTAATGGCCCACAAAGCCTGGTGTTCTAACTCAACAAGGAAATGGCACGGTTTTCCGAACACAATCCTATATGGAGACATCTCGATGGGTGTCTTATATGTAGTGCGATAGGCCCAAAGTACATCAACCAACCTAGTGGACCAATCTTTCCTATTGGGCCTCACAACTTTCTCGAGGATGTTTCTAACCTCCCTAGTAGAAACCTCTACTTGATCACTAGTATAGGGATGATAGGGAGTGCCAACTTTATGAGTGATCATGTATTTGCACACCAATGTCTCGAAAAATTGGTTGCAAAAATGTTTACCATCGTCACTAATTATGGCATGTAGGAACCCAAAATGACAAAAAATGGTTTCATGGAGGAATTTAACCACAACTTTGTGATCATTCATTCTGGTGGCCACTGCCTCCACCCACTTGGAGACATAGTCCACAACCACCAAAATGTATTCAAAGTGGAAAGGGACCCATGAAGTCGATGCCCGAAACATAAAAAATCTCACCAATCAAAATAGGGGTCATCGGAATCATATCTCATCGTGACATAGAGCCCATGCATTGACAACGCTTACAAGCTCTATAGAAGTTATGGGCATCTTTGAAAATAGAGGGCTAGTAGAACCCATGTTGTAAAACCTTGGCGGTTGTTTTCTGCCCACTGAAATGGCCGCCACATGCATGAGAGTGACAAAATGTGAGAATGCTATGGGTTTCACTCTCCGGCACACAACATCGAATCACTTGATCCGGACAATACTTGAACAATTCCTGGTCTTCCTAGAAATAATGCTTGACTTGTGAGAAAAATCGGTCTTTGTCTTACTAAGACTAAGTTTGAGGAATTTGACCAACCGCCAAGTAATTTACTATATGAGCAAACCAGGGGAGGGCCACTTGTGATACCGCAAGAAGTTGCTCGTCCAGAAACGAGTCGTACAAAGCTAAGGGATCACTCGTGTGCTCAATAAAGATGCAAGATAGATAATCCGCAACTACATTCTTGGATCCCTTCTTGTCCCGGATTTCTAGGTCAAACTCCTGAAGGAGTAGAATCCACCTAATCAACCTAGGTTTGGTCTCTTTTTTGATAGTAAATACCACAAAACGGCATGATAAATGAAGACTATGACCGTGGAACCTAGGAGATAGAACCGGAATTTATCTAAGGCAAAGACTACAACTAGCAACTCTTTCTCAGTGATAGTGTAATTCAATTGTGCATTTGAGAGAGTGCGAGCATATATCATAGGGTGCCCTATTGACCCTTTGGCCCAACACAGCCCTGAAAGCATAATCCGAGGCATCACACATGATTTCAAAGGGAAGCGACCAATTCGGCGACTTCATGATTGGGGCGGTAGTAAGGGCCACTCTTAGTGTTTCAAAGGCTTTCAAACAAGCCTCATCAAAGATAAAAGATGCATCCTTAGCAAGTAAACTACACAAAGGACATGATATTTTACTACAGTCTTTAATGAACCTACGGTAAAAACCTGCATGCCCTAAGAAAGATCGGACTTGACGCACAGAATTGGGTAGAGGAAGGCCTACAATGAGGTCAACCTTAGCCTTGTTTACCTCTATACCTCGAGAGGACACAATGTCCCAACACTATACCCTCACGAACTATAAAATGGCTCTTTTGCCAACTCAAAATCAGGTTTGCCTTAGTACATCGTTCCAACACTCTAGTCAAGTTTCTAAGGCATTCCTCAAAAGACAGTCCAAACATCGAGAAATCATCCATGAAGACCTCTAAAAATTTCTCCACCATGTCAGAGAAAATGGCTATCATATACCGTTGAAAAGTCGCCGGTGCATTACATAGCCCAAAGGGCATGCGCCAGTAAGCAAAAATGCCAAAAAGGCTAGTGAATGTGGTCTTTTTTTGGTCAGCAGGGTACACCGGGACTTGATTATATCCCGAGTAGCCATTAAGAAAATAACAACAACCCTATCTCGCTAACCTCTCAAGAATTTAATCAATAAATGACAAAGGAAAATGGTTCTTCCTAGTCATGGAATTCAATCTCCTATAATTAATACACATTCGCCACCCAATAGTGGTTTATATGGGGACTAACTCTCCTTGCTCATTCTCTACAACAGTGATGCCCGATTTCTTGGGCACCACTTGTGTGGGACTTTCCCATTTGCTATCCGAGATGGGGTATATAATACCTGCATCTAATATTTTCAACACCTCTTTTTTCACAACCTCTTTCATTTTAGGATTAAGACTCTGTTGCATTTCACGAGAAGGTTTAGCCTCCTCCTCTAGATGTATATGATGCATGCACACGAAGGGATCTATCTCTTTCAAATTAGCCACCAACCACCCTATAACATTTCGATATGCCACAAGAACACTCATTAATTGACTTTCCTACTTTGCAGTTAAGTCTGATGCAATGATGATAGGTAAAGTATCATTTGGCCCTAAAAATGCATACTTGAGTGTGGTCGGGAGTGGCTTCAACTCAAATGTAGATGGTGTGACTAAGGGTGGTATGGAGGGCTCTCTAGATAGAGAAGGAAGGGACTCAAATTGGGCTTTCCACGGAGGAAAATCCGGTGTAGAAAAAGAATTAAGTAAGGCATTCACCTCCTTCATTGACCCGTCAATATTTAAATTTTCAAACCCAAAATGAGCTAGACAATCCTCTAGAGGGTCCTCTACAAGAACGGAGAGTAAAGCCTCTTCCACAATCCCATCCATAACATCCATAAATAAACACTCATCTCTTTCATGGGATTATTGGGATGCTTGAAAAACATTGAGTTTCACTTGCGCATTTCCAAATGAAACATCCATAATCCCGGTATGACAATTTATGCATGCATTGGCCACAGCCAAGAAAGGTTAGCCTAAGATCACCAGGGTTTGTTTCTGAGAGCTGGCTACCAGTTTCATATCTAAAACTAAAAGTCAACAGGAAAATAAAACTTATCGACCTTTACTAGCACATCCTTAATCATGCCACGTGGCACTTTGAGGGACCGGTCAGCTAACTGGAGAGCAACAGTAATGAGCTTTAACTCGCCAAGCCCGAATTCTTTGTACACAAAGTACGACAACAAATTAACACTAGCCCCTAAATCTAACAAGGCCCTATCAATGAAATGATCCCTTATAATGTACGTAATGGTTGGGGCACCCGGGTCTTTAAGTTTGGGGGGTATGTTATTCAATAACATGGAGCTTACTTGCTCTGTGAGTACGACCTTATGGGACACGTGTGTCCTAGATTTATGCTTTTGCATACAAAGGTCCTTCAAAAATTTAGCATAGGAGGGTACTTGCTTAATTGCTTTCAACAGGGGAAGGTTGATTTTCACTTGTTTAAAGACCTCCATCATCGCTTCCAATAATGCCGCCTTCTTATTAAAAGGGGACGATGTCTCAAGGCATTGGGAAAAGGGTGCCTTAAGCACATATGGTGCCTTACACTCATGTGAAATACTAGGGACTAAGTCATCCCCCTTATGTGTTTCTTCCTCACCGTTGCTCTCTTTGGGTTGACCACCGTGATCACCTTTCTTAGCCTTAGTTGCATCAGACGCACCTGGTTGAGGCTCTAACTTTCTCACACTTCTCAAAGTGATCACCGCTTACGCCTACTCGTGGTGCTTTTCATTCCCACCTGACCCTTCTGCGCCATATTGACCCTTAGGGTTGGCCATAGTCTGACTCGGTAATTTTTCTTCATCTCTTCTATTCATGTTATTAGCCATTTGACCTAATTGGGCCTTTAGCTTGGCAATAGAGTGAGTATAGGAGTGAACTACTAGTGCTAATTCCTTAAGTTTTGAGAGAACTTCTAACACTTGAATCTTAAAGGTAAAGTTGCCTTGAGGAACAGGCGGGGGTGGTGGTGGCCGGTAAGGTTGTGAGGGTCTATAATTGGTAGGCAAAATTATTAAAATTCTTCCTTGGTGGTGGAGAATTGTAAGAAGTGCCTTGTGAAAGAGGTCTCCATGGAAAATTAGGGTGATTTCTTCATCTTGGATTGTATGTGTTGGAATATGGGTAAGCCATAGTAAAAGGTTTGAACAAGTTACCAATCAGGCACTTGGTGGTGGGGACACTGTTGGAAAAGGTCACGAAATCTTTCTCATGTTTCATGAAATTGCTCGTCATCAAATTGAGCAAAATTGGTGATGGCTCGTCTAAGTTGGTCTTACCAATGGAAAAATACTTCTCCAAAACTTCTACTGTAATTGGTCTCATGTTGTGACAGAATTGGCAGGTAAGGAATTCAACCAAAGTTTGGCTTTTGTCCTTTACTGAAAATGGAAATAGTTGCAACATTAAGGCCTCATTTGTGAAATTCTGGATCCTTACTATAGAGCAAATTTCCAGAAATTCATGCAGAAATTTGTAAGGGTCATTGGATGGTGCTAGATTTAATCTCATAATGAGCAGCGGTGGTGTCGAGTAACTAAATGCGTGATGGTGATGTATATGCAGTGGGTGTGACGTAATCCTTAAGGGTCCAATTGGGCCCATTTAGGCCATTCGGGTTTGCTATCTCAATTGGTTCAAGGTATGGATATGGATATTCAAGCCTAGGAACACGAGAAGAGGCTTTAAGTTTCCTAAGAGTCCTTTCTAGTTCAAGGTCCAAACTCCACTATTCAGGGCAAGAAGAATGGCGCCCGTGCATATACCACTCAGACACACACACACACACACACTAAGTTCCGACTCTGTGCACTAAGTTATGAAAACAGAATACCTATAACGATTTTGGTTTGGACTCGACCCTTGTTGTATTCTGGGTACGGGTTTCATGGTCTTTTATTGTTGATTATACCTTGCTTCTCTTGTATTTTCCTCAAATTTAGCTATTGGGTTGTCGTGGTTGTGTTTGGAACAGGTTGGTCGCTTGGTTTTCAAATCTTATGTTGCCCAGGTTTTTGGTCCTCCACTTGAGCGGCACTTCTTGCGCTCAAGTGGGCTTTGCAAACTCTCAGTACTTTTGCAAGTTTGCAAAACTACTGGAAGAGTGTATTCTACGCTCGAGCAGGTGGGCGCTCAAGTGGCCTTTCTTGATCTCGAGCGGTGGTCTGTCCTCTGCAAAACTACTTGAAGTGTGTATTATGCGCTCGAGCGGAACAAATTATTGTGTCTGACGCTCAAGTGTCACTTCTTGTGCTCGAGTGAATTGTGCGTATATCAGTTCGCAGCAGCCTACTTTTTTACCACTTTTTCATCTCTTTTTCTCTCAAAACCTTAGATCTATACTCTCTCTGT